AAGGTACATTGAAGAAATTGGCAATGAACAAGGCACCAGGAATTGATAGAATGAAAATTGAAATCTTTTAAGAAAGTGAGGTGGCACTGGAGGCACTCACTCATCTATTCCAAGAAATTTGGAAGTCAGTTACCTGGCCGATTGATTGGAAGAAATCCGTATTTGTGCCCATTCGAAAGAGAGGTGACCCAACAATGTGGAAATCATCAGACAATATCTTTGATATCTCATGTGAGTAAAGTGTTACTAAAAGTAATACAGAAACGGCAACAAGGATACATTGACAGAAAACTTCGAGATGTTCAAGCCAGATTCAGAAGAGGACATGGAATGAGGGATATCACTGTGGATTTCTGATGGATCTTGACTGAAAGCAGAGCATACCAGAAAGATGTTTACCTGTGCTTTATTGACTACGCAAAGGCTTTCAATTGTGTGGATCATGAGAAGCTATGGACAACATTGCGAAGTATGAGTATTCCGGAACACTAAATTGTGCTCATGAGGAATCTGTACATGGACCAAGAGGCAGTTGTTCAAAAGAACATGGGAACACTGAATGGTTTAAAGTTAAGAAAGGTGTGCAACAGGGTTGTATTCTTTCACCATATGTATTCAACCTGTATACTGAGCAAATAATCAGAGAAACTGGGCTATAATGAAGAAAAACATGGCATCAGTATTGGAAGAAGACTCATTAACAACCTGTGATAAGCAGATGATACATCCTTGCTTGCTGAAAGTGAAGAGGACTTAAAATATTTACTGATGAAGATCAAAGACCACAGCCTTCGGTATGAATTGCATCTCAATGTAAACAAAACAAAATTCCTCACTGCTGGACCAATAAATAGCATTCTTATCAATGGAGAAAAGATTGAAGTTGTCAAGGACTTCATTCTTCTTGGATCAACTATCAACACTCATGGAAGCAGCAGTGAAGAAATCAAATGATGTATTGCATTAGGCAAATCTGCTGCACTAGACCTTTTTAAAGTGTTGAAGAGCAAAGATACCAGCTTGAGGTACACCTGACCCAAGCCATGGTATTTTCAATAATCTCATATGCATGCAAAAGCTGGACAGTGAATAAGGAAGACAGAAGAATTGATGCTTTTGAGTTATGGTGTTGGAAGAGAATATTAAATGTGCCATGGGCTGCCAAAATAACCAACAGCTAGCTCTGTGTTGGAAGACGTGCAGCCAGAGTGCTCCTTGGAGGCCAGGATGGCCAAACTTTGTCTCATATTTTGGACATATTGTCAGGAGGGACCAGTCGCTGGAGAAGGATATCATGTTTGGTAAGGTGGAGGGGCAGAAAAAAAGAGGAAGACCCCCACGAGATGGATTAGCAGAGTGGCAGCATCAGTGGGCTCAAGTGTGGCAACCATTGTGATGTTGGCCCAGGACCGGGCAGTGTTTCGTTCTGTTTATGCATAGGGTCACTATGAGTCGGTACCTACTCAATGGCACCCAACAACAACAACAACAACGTATCTGGATTGAGTTCTGGGTGGTGTTGTCATATAGGATAATCTCAGGTTTTTGTCTGCTGTTGTTGGTTCTCAGTCCAAAGGGCACCCTTTAGCATTTTTTGTAAAGTTTGTCTTGTCACTACAAACTTCTTTCTCTGTTTGTCATGAAATAACCTAATTTCATGTTGTTATTTGACAGACAACTTTGCTTTGTATATGATTCTTGGATGGTAATGTTTTTCGTTCAGAGTTTTCTGTATGTTATCCCATTGTCTTCTTGCCCGCATGGTTTCTCCTTTGTAGGTAATTTTTTCATTTTTCCTGAGCTGCTCTGAGGAATTTTTCCTTCTGTTTGATTTTGGAAACTATGATTATGATATGTCTTGGTGATCTTCTTTTGAAATATATCCTGTTTGGAGTTTTTTCATCTTTGTTCTGATTGTTCTTCTAGTATATAGTTTTGAGAGATTTGTCTTCAAGCTCACTAATTCGGGTTTCGATTCCATCCCATTTATTCCTTTGCCCTTTCAATGTATTGTCCATTTCTGAGATTTTTAATTTTAATATTCTGGATTTCTAATTGCAAACTTTGTATTGTTTCTAATTTTGCATTTATTTTGTCTGTTCTTGTAACATTTTCCTAAATTCTTCTAAAATATTTTTGTGTTCTCCTTGCTTTCCTCGATCTTTCTATTGATCCTTTGAAGGTACGTAACATTCTTTTGAATTCTTTTTTTAGTTATTTCCATTACCTCTTCTCTCAGCAAGCACTCCATCCACCTCTCTGACCTTTCTTCTGAAGTTCAGGGTGCCAAAAACTTCATCTCTGTCCATTTTACTTGGCCTGTCCTCTCTTTGTTGTAGAGTGTCCGTGTAGTACATCTGCCTTGTCCACTATCTCACCTGAAGTCTCCTGTGTTAACTTTTAAAAAATATAATGTTTTATTTGTATTAGATTAAGGTTTACATAGCACTTTAAGTTCCTTTTCAACAATTTCTACACAACTTGTTTATTGACTGGCTACATTCTTCACAACTTGTAAACATTCTCTTTATTTCTTCTGTTTGTGATGTGTTGCTGTGTGTTAATGCGCTGGACTGCGAGGTTGGTTTGAACTGCAAGGTCTGAAGTTCAGGCTCACCAGCTGCTCCTTGGAAACCCTATACAGGGACTCTATGGGTCAGAAGTGACTCAGCGACACTTAACAACAACAGAGCTGTGTTTGCACGTTGCTATGTCACGCTAATGTCTGTCTTATTTTGATCTGTTGTCAGATCTATTCTATACTCACCACCAAACCTTTTGTCATGCCCATCCCACCAACTCCTTTTGGTTGGAGTCTGTACCTATAGGCCACAACATTAGCTTGTGTAGACAGTGTTTCCTGAGGTCTTACTCAAAATAGTTTGTGTAGCCTTTAAAGATGGAGGACAATTTCAGTTCCGAATATTAAGTTATCAACCTCATTTTCTTTGCATAAGTGTCTACTAGATCTTTCTCCACTATCTACGGATAGGATGTTGGCATGGGGAAGTCTGGAGCTGTGTGATTTTCTCTCACTCTTAAGAGATTTACCCCTATTACCTGTCCTGGGTTTCCAAGGACCTGTCTTTGTGTTGATTTGTTGGAGGTCAGTTTCCTAGTACTCAGAGTGCTCTTTAAATGTATTGACTGATATTTTATGTTATTTCAAGATGGTTTTCCTGAAGTATTTATTTACAGTGTTTGGTCCCCCTGCTTTGGTGTCCTTCTTCTGGGACTACAACTGGTATGTGATTTATTTCTCTTTACTTATCCTCTTGTCTGTTGATATCTCTCTTTCCTGCCCTCTGTGTCTCCTACTGTGTTATGGGTTCTCTTCCTGAATTGATTCTGTAGTCAGGCTATGCATCTTTGCAGTAGTTCTTCCTTCCTTTGCCCTGTGCTCTGCCAGTCCTTCTGTCCCAGGCTCCTTGACTCACTGACCCTGAGGACTGAGCCCTGGCCCCCTCATCTACAAACCACCTTGCATGCTGGTTTGTAGACTCCACTTCTCATGGTCTGCAATGAAGCTGTGTGCTCTTACTTTTTGTTGTTTGTATTAGAGTAAGTTGGATTGCCCTTGAGTGTTTCTGGAGTTGGATGGAACTCCAGAGAAGCTTCCTGGCTTCACAGTTTTCCTGTTGAAATATCAAAGGGGACCCTCTCTGGCAGCATTCCTTCCATCTCTTCAAGGTTAGCTTGCTACAGTAGGCTACATGATCAGCCCTGGCTTCTGCTTGTTGGTCACTATCAACAGAAGGTCCAGACTGTCCTTCCAAGGGCTGATCCCTTGTAGAAGAGATGCTGCCTAGCTCTACTCTTGGCTTGTAGGGCTTCCTTCCATGCTTCCCCATGCCTCCCAGTTCTCCAGCTGCTCCCATTGCCCATTTCTGGGAAGACAGGAGACCCTTGAATCCCATGCTGCTGGCAGCCCATCTGCCCACTGACCTGACACTGAGCTTTGCAGAAGTCACAAAATAATAGCAGCATTCATACCTTTCCTCTTTCTTAGTTTTAGAAAAAACGTTGGTTGGATTTTTCATTTATTTTTTCCCTTTTCTCCCTATTATTCTGTGTGGTTTTCAGACGTCAGAAGGTTTCCAGTCACATACCTACTAGAACCAGAAATCACATGTTAGAAATAAACCATGATAAGGAATTCTGGTATGGTGATATAGGATTAGCACTGGACTGCGAACCACAAGGTCAGCAGTTCAAATCCACCAGCTCCTCCTTGGAAACCCTACACTGGGTCGCTTAGAGTCAGAACTGACTCGATGGCACTTAACAACAATGACAGCATACTATCTGTATCTGGTTATCCTTTCTCCTCAGTGAGCAGCTAGCCGTGGCTGACTCTCATCCTCATTTTATGTAACCTTAACCCCAAGACTCTGCAAATCACTGACCTAGCCAGGACAACCTTGTTTGGGGAGGCTGAGGTGGACCCACCACTCTAACTAGGCCCTGAGTCCAGCTTGTGGTGGGGAGTCTTCAGGTTCTGATGAGAGGAGTGTGGAGAGTTAGGGACTTCTAACCCAGTTTCTAAGGGAGAACCCTCCCCCTGCCCCATACTGATGGCCCATTACCACATACCACATCTTAAATTCATCTCTGTCTCTCCATGTAATCAGAACAACATGCCTAAAGCATGGTTTAACACACAAATGCCTACTTGTTTGAGGGTGTTGAGTAATGGTGTCCATACCTGGAAGTCAGGTAGCAGCATTTCCTGTGAGACTGTGTGAGGACAGTGCTTACTGAGAGCAGAGCTCAGGGAGTCTTGATTGTGCCAGCAGTTCCTGGCCCACCTGGAGGAAGTGGAGAGTAGGGTGCATAGTCTGTCTCACGTGTGGACCTGTTTGTGTCTTTGTCTCTGGGTCTTAGTCTTAGGGTCTTCAGCCACTGTGGTGTGGGGCATTTGGTGGACCATTGGTATTTCTTTCTATGAGTGTTTCTAGGGGTGCAGTTTTGGTGCCTAACTGGATCTCCTTTGTCTGCAGGAATAAGAAAAGCTCCAACAAAGTCCTTTGTGCCCAGAACTGTCATGATCGGGGGAAAGGTAAGTGATTTCCCTGTGACATTCGTTTCTAAGATTGGCTTAAAACCATTACCCAGCTTTTGGTAGATGGCTTGTAGAACTTGGTACCAGCCGTCCCAGTGAGTAGAAAGCTGAGAACAACTGTATCAGGCAGGCAGCACCAAGTGCAGAGGTCACCTGCTAACATGGCCTGTGGGACAAGAGAATGACTCACAATGGCAGTTGAGTGCCTGTCGCCGCTACTGAATTGAGGCACCCTTGCCTGCCCAGGGCTTGCCAGGGTCTCACCACAGCTGGAACAAACTCCTTTCGAGCACCAGTCAGCTGTGTCCCATAATTACAGTACAGTGTGACCATGTTTTCCATCAGTGTGGGCGACTTGGAGTCCAGCTTACTTTCGATCTATTTTATTTAATGTGGCACAGACTCTTAGAGTCCTAGAATGGACACCAGAATCTCAATGTACTACTATTAGGGACAGGCAGTTCACATTCTTATGTTCAGTGTTCTTTCTGAAAAGCTGGACTGAAGCAGCAGCCCACAGACCAAGTTCCAACCAGTTGCTCTAACCCTCAACCCGAGACACGCCTCAAGCCTGGGCCAGTGGGCTGCGCTAGTATATCTTGTGCTCCGGTTCACTGTTTACAAGGCAGTCAGGTGTAGGAGCTGTGGACCTACCCTCAGCCCAACAATAACTCTGCTTTGTCCCTCGCCCCAGAGTCTGAGGCAAATCCTAGACACCACATTATTTCTCCTGTTGGTGTTTGAGTTCCTCTAAAAGGTATTGACCCCTGAGGAGCAGTTCTTTTCTTTCCTCTAAGGACACTATGAGTTGGAATTAACTCATCAGTGGGTTCAGTTGTTTGCCTTTTGCAAGAGTATGGACTTTTTAAAAAGCTTCAAAAGAAATTTCAAACCATGAACAAAGGAGAAAGAATCACAAAAATCCCTGAAGCTCTCCCCAGTTCCCCAGTTGGACATTTTGCCACACATGCTTCATCTCCCCAGGCATTGCTGGTCAGTTTCAGGTTAAATCACAGTTATTTTGATGCTTCACTCCTAAATACTTCATCACACATTATCACAGAAAGATATTTTTCTCCAAAACCATACCTGGCCTCTTTGTAAATAACCACACAGTGTCATCATCTCCCCTAAAATGTGTCACAAATCCCCATGTTGCTGACTCCAGTCAAGGGCCTATAGCCCCACTCTGGTTAAAGTAGCCATTTATTTGAAAACAAGGGCCTCATGTGGAGACTGTGAGTATGTCTCATTGCTCCTGTAGTCTGCAGTGTCTCTCCTGTGTCTTCCTCCGACTTTCCTGGTGGTTCACTTGCCACTGCAGCTGGGTGGTCAGTCCCCACGTGCTGCCTTCACTGCTGAGATGGTGTCATACTCCTGGAGTTTCTTATGATTCTGACAGTCAGTTCTCCTAATTTTTGGAAAGCACACAGGAATTGGGAAACCATACTTAAGGAAGTGCCCGGCAGAGACTGACGTGTCAGAGTTTACCTGAGACATTTCTGGTTCCTATGAAGGAGGAGCTCTGGTACCGTAGTGGTTACGAATCGGGCTGTGAACCTTAAGGTCAGCGGTTCGAAACTACCAGCCGCTCCGCGGGAGAAAGATGAGGCTTTCTACTCCCGTAAAGATTTACACCCTCGGAAACCCTGTACAGGGTCGCTATGGGTCGGAACCGACTCAATGGCACTTAACAACAACAACAATGAAGGACCTCATCCTGCATTCAGTGAGGGGATTTTTTAAAAACACATTTCAGGCAGGGGCCATCTGACAGATTGCATGCAAGACATGTCATTAGAGCACTGCTTCGGTGTCCCTGGGATCCCTGGTCTACCTGCCTGTCCTGTAGCCCTCACAGTGGCCTGGCCTTCTCCCAGGAACCTTGAGGACAACACAGACCCTCTTTACACTGACCTCCTCTTCCAGGCGGCTCCTGGATACCACATGGCCAAAATGATCATCAAACTAGTCACGTCCATTGGCAGTGTCGTCAATCATGACCCCATTGTAGGTGACAGACTCAAAGTGATCTTCCTGGAGAACTACCGTGTATCTCTAGCAGAGAAAGGTATTTGAAAGACCTTCATGAATGGGGCCCTGCTCTTCCTGGGTGCAAGATGGTTGGTGGGTGCAGTCAGGACAACAGGTCCCCAGCAGAGCAGCAGGTCACAGTGAAAGTGCTCCCTCTTGTGAGAGCACTGGTGTGTGCCACCAGCAGAATGTTCCTCAAGCTACTTGCCCTCCCCTCTGCACATCCCCCCTGTGGCACTTGGTTTTGTTGTCTCGTCACCCTGCCTCCTTGTCTTGGGACCCCAGTCACCTTGCTGATATACCATGTAACTAGGTAGGGAAAGAGTGTGGACCACCTGCCTGCCTCCACCCCGAGGCCTTTCCTGCCACTGGTCTGGCTGCCCATAAGTGCATGGTTCTTTCACACTGGCCAGTACTTGCCTCTGATGCTTCCTGGGTGCAGCTGCAAGCCCGCACTCACCAGTTGTTTGGAATTCAGGACTGGGCCTGCCACACTGGAGAGGTCCTTGGGGACTAGACATGTGTTGCTTCCCTGAGGAGGTGCCTGGGAGCACACTCATCTGACCCAGACATCCTTCTGAATTGGCTGCCTCTGGTGTCCTGGCAGCAGAATGGTTTGAGCAGACTCCCAGGCTCTGTGTGCGTGGCAGAGTGATGCCAGCAGTTGCTGCCTGATGAGCTGCTCCATGCCAAGGAGGCTACAGGTCTCCCCAGGCCTTATATTGGGAATATGCTGCTCTGCTGAATAGTCTTGGGCATGGTGGCCTTCAAGGTGGACTAGGGCCACCCTGGACAGGGGCTGGTTAGGAACTTTGGTGCAGTTGACTATTCCTTTGTTGAACTTCAAGTACTGAATCTTACATGGCTCCTTCAACTAACTAGGATGCATGCCCTAATCTTAGGGCTGGCCAATGGTGGTTCCTACCACCATTAGAATCCATCTGGCCCACTCAGGTAGCCTCTGGATAGATGTGGGGTCATCTCTGTTGTATTTGCTGAGCCTCCTTCCTACTGTGATCCTTCGCCCCCTTTTGACAAGAACTGGCTCCAAGAACCCACCTCCAGACTGGGGAAATGGCGAGGGGGCAGCACAATGAGCTGAGGGTACTATGGGGTAGAAGGTCAAGCTAGTCTGCCCTGGACAGGGACAGCCAGTCACAGGACAAGACCAGGAGTGTCTTTCTGCCTACCCAGTCAGGGGTGCATGGGCCCATGGGGAGAACCTCATGCCTGGCTGCTGCACATGCCAATGACTGGTGGCTGATATGGAACACTGGCACATCGGACCTGAGGAGTAATGGCCACGCATATTCCAGCAAATGCTTTGTAGTGTCTTATGGGAAGACTGACAACAGAATAATAAGAAATGAAAACCAGTACCAGAGGTTTCACCAGGCTTTGGTTTGGCTGTGGTCCTTGCAAGTTTCTAAATGACGGCCTTTGTCATCTAGAAGACTTCTCCATAGGAGACTTTATTTTGGATTCATTTTCCTTAGCTGCTCTGAATCAAGAAAGGGAGCTTGGGAAGGCTGGTTGGGGGAGAGTGGCTCTGGTCTCAGTTCTGGAATGGATGTCGGGGTTGTGGGAGTGAAGCCTGGAAGGGCTTTCTCTGGCTCCTTCCTGGGGTGAGTGATGACACACTGTACCATCCATCTCAGGTGGTGGCTACCTTTTTGGGGAGGAGAAGAGGGACAGAGAGGAACAGGATTGGAGGCTCTGCCCTGGGTCACCAGCCTGGAACCCATCTTCCTTTCTGCCCTGGGAAGCGAGGCCTTTGCTGTAGCTTTTAGAGTAAGGTAGCACCTCAGGACATATGAGAAGGTAGCTGCAAGCAACTGACCGACCACCCTCCTGTGCTTGCTGTAGTGATTCCTTCTGCAGACCTGTCGCAGCAGATCTCCACTGCGGGCACCGAGGCCTCTGGCACGGGCAACATGAAGTTCATGCTCAACGGGGCCCTCACCATTGGGACCATGGATGGCGCTAACGTGGAAATGGCCGAGGAGGCGGGGGAGAAGAACCTCTTCATCTTTGGCATGCGGGTGGAGGAAGTGGAGGCACTGGACCGGAAAGGGTGTGTGCCCAGCACCCTCACCTGGACCTGCGGTGGTGTGGGGCAGGGGACAGCACAGCTCATTGGGGGTGGCCAGCCATTTTAGACCGGCTTCAGATTAGGGTGCCCTTGGGTTACTCTGATTCTACTGTGCTCAGACTGGGTTTCTCAATGAATAAACCTCCTTCCAGTGAAGTCCACGGAGCGCCATTCTTCCCTTGATAACTAAAGGACACTACTCCCTTCACAGGAGTGTGGCCAAGGTAATAGCACAGGGCAGGTGGCTCCCAAGCCCAATTTCTTTGGCCACAGGGTGATGACACCCCATTTTTGCAATCAATAAGTTAGGGCTCAGAGAAGTAGTAACACCAGAGATGGAGGCAAAGATAATGATGTTGAGAGAGAGAGCAGCTGAGGACTCTTCTTATTGTTGTTAGGTGCCATCAAGTAGGTGCCAACTCATAGCATCCCTGTTAAAAAAACGAAACACTGCCCAATCCTGGACCAACCTCACAATTGTTGCCACACTTGAGCCCATTGATGCTGCCACTTTGCCATTCCATTTCACCGGAGGCCTTCCTCTTTTTCTCTGACCCTGTACCTTAACAAACAAGATATCCTTCTCCAGCAACTGGTCCCTCCTGACAATATGTTCGAAGTATGAGAGACGAGGTTTGGCCATCCTGGCCTCTAAGGAGTACTCTGGCTTCACTTCTTCCAACACAGATCTGTTGGTTCTTTTGGCAGTCTGTGGCACTTTCAGTATTCTCCTCCAACACCATAACTCTGAGGACTCTAGACTCATGGAAACAGAAAGGCTGTGTGCCGGCAGCCAGGAGGCAGGCTTGCCTTTGGTTGTTTAAATTATTATATATTCCTAAGTGTTTTTGTTTCATCTTATTGATTGAAAGCCCCTCAGAATAATATCACTTACCCCATTTCCTCCCTCTGTTTCTTGTTTGCATTCCTCCTTTACCCACTCTTCTGAATTTTGTCCTTGAGTAAATGTTGCCCTTTTGATCTTGAATGGTTGGCCATTGTTTGTCTGCCTCACTAGTGTTGTTGTCTCCCCTGTGTTATTGTTAGGTGTCATGGAGTCAGTTCTGACTCATTATTGACCTGATTAGGATTTCTGAGGCTGTGTATCTTTATGGAAGCAGAAAACTTAAGCAGCTGGTGGATTTGAACTGTCAATCTTAGCAGTCCATTGTTTATCCTGTGGAGCCACCAGCACTCCTGTCCCCCTATGTATCTATACAGTCTTTGAAAACTGAGCCATGGGGTTAAGTTCAGTTCCAGACCTGAAGGGTGACCAAGGGCTTTGGGCTTGTGTTTCACCAGTCTATCTAATCAGTAGTCTTGGCCTTTTTTTTTTTTCTTCATGATTTTGAGTTTTGTTCCACATTTTCTCCTACTCTATCCAGGACCTTCTAATGTAATCCCCTTAAGAGCAGTTGGTAATGGCCAACTGTAGCCAGGCACCATCTAGTTTTCTTCTGGTCTCAGGGTTATAGACTGATTTTCCCACGGTCCATTAGTCCATTGTACTAATTGTTTTCAATTGTCTTCAGTTTTCATCACTCTTCTCCATATATGGAGAGACCAATCGTTGCACCTTAGATGGCCACTTCTGAGCTTTTAAGACCCCAGTCACTACTCACCAAAGTAGGATATAGAACATTGTCTTTATGGACTATGTTATGCCAATTGGCCATGGTACCCCATGAGACTATGGTTCTGCACTTCCAGACCCAGCAGCTCATTCCCTCAAAGTATTTGATAATGTCTAAGAAGTTTCCATAATTTGCCCCCTGTATATATACTCTACCACATTCACAGATATGTTTGCAGTAAAAGTAAACACCCGTGCATGTACAAATACCCTCTATCAAACCTTTATATATGTGTGGTGGGTATGCTCCCTCTCACAGTGTATTCAGCCTGTGTCTCAATCCATGTACTTACCCACAGATCACTGTTGCTGCAGGATTCTGTACTTACCTCTGTTCCCTTTAACTTTTGTACTTTTTCCAGTGCCTTTCCTTGCCTTCATCATTTTTCTGCCAACCTCCCTCTTGTCTATTGCCTTCCATATTACCTAAGTTAACACGTGGTCTACCGTCTCACCGGTTAACTACTTTCTCTTCACTACCAACGTTGGTAACCATCACAGAATATTTCTTCTAGTGTGAAAGCCTTTTCTTGATCTTTTATGGTAGTGATCTCATACAGTATTTGTCCTTTTGTGATTGATTAGTTTTACTCGGCATAATGTCCTCCCAAGTTCACTCATGTTAATGGGGCGTTTCGCAGATTCATGGTTATTCTTCAACATTGTATTTCATTGTACATACCAAAGTTTGTGTATCCATTTGTTGTTGATGGGCATTTAGGCTGTCTCCGCTTTTTGCTGTTGTAAATGGTGCTAGGAGAAACATTGGTGTGCATACAACTTTTGCGTTGTGGTTCTCTAGGATATATACAATGTAGAAAGATTGTTGGATCACATGGTATTTCTATTTTCTACTTTTTAAGGATGTCCCATGCTGTCTTCCACAGTTGTTGTTGTTAAGTACTGTGGAGTCGGTTCCGACTCATAGTGACCCTGCACAATGTTTCCGAGGCTGTAATCTTTACGGGAGCAGAACACCTCATCTTTCTCCCGTGGAGCTGCTTGTAGTTTCGAACTGCTAATCTTGAGGTTGGCAGCTCGTAACCACTATGCTACCAGAGCTCCGTCTTCCACAGTGGGTGCACCATTTCACACCACTAAGTGTAAAAGTGGAATCCAGTTCTGGTCTCTCTACATCTTTGCCAGCATTGGTTGTTTTCTGTTTCTTGAACTTTGCTATTAGTGCTGGGGTGAGATGATATCTGTCTGGCTTTTTAAAATAACCTTTTGTTTTAAAGTAAGTTAGGTTTACAGAGAAGGTTCAGAGGTAGTACAGGGTCCTTGTGCTGTCCCTAATCTTCCCGCTGTTTGTGCCTTCCATCACGTACACCTGTAGGGACCAAGATGGGATGTCAACACTATGCATTATTGTTAACTACACTCCACGTCCCTGCTCCAGCAACATCATCTTTTGGTCCAAGACCCAGTCTGCACTGCATATGGCTGTCTTACCTCTCCAGTCTTCTCTGCCTTTAATGACTCTTCATGCTGCCTGTGTTTCATGACCTTGACCTTGACCTTGAGGAGATCACCTTGGTCTAATTCTGAGGGATAGTTGAAAAGACAAGAAAAGGCAGTATTGTCTAATTGTGTATATACTTGTGAGAGTTGGCGAGGCCTGTCCACCAGCAGGTGAAATGTAAATATCACCAGAGTTGTTTCCTGCTTGCCTTCGCCACCCCACCCAGCCCCCACCCAAGGCTCTTTCTGAATGTATCCTGTATCCCTTCCATCCTTGAAGTTGATAGTGTGGGCCTGCTTGTCTTAAGTCTGCATTTCCTCTACATCTTCACGGTCTCAACTGAGGGGCTCTTTTCAAACCCTACCCCTTCTGGTAAGCAGTGGGGGGTATAAGGTGAGGATGCAGGTGTGATGGCTCTAGATGCAGGGGCTCCAAGTGTGTGACTGAGCACAAGGCTGTAGGGGCAGGGGCTATGGGCACCACATGTGGGTCTGAAAACTGCCCAGGCTTCTATAGGAGGAAGCCTTTTGCAGCAGAAATACAGAGGGTTTAAAAACAACAACAAAAATTTAATAGAAAGGTTTCATTAGCTTTTATTTTTCCATGAACTTTTTAAATGCCCCCTTAGGCCATGTGGGCTACACCCAAGACTATACATTTTTTAGGAACAACCGTTTTCAAGAAGAGTAGCAGATGACATTAGTTTTGTATCCATTGCACATCACAGTTCCAGCAATCCTCTTTTGAGTTGCTATCCCAGGTAGCATAGACCCTGAACTTGGGAGAACATCTAGGGGCTCCTACTCTTGGGTACTGACGTTGACTTGTGTGAGTTGGTCTTCACAGGTACAATGCCAGAGAGTACTATGACCGCCTCCCTGAGCTGAAGCAGGTGGTGGACCAGATCAGCAGTGGATACTTCTCTCCCAAGGAGCCCGACTGTTTCAGAGACATTGTCAACATGCTGATGCACCATGACAGGTAAGAACTAGTCCTCTCATGGGCCTGACATAGGACTTGTTGCTGACCTCTGCTGTGTGACCCTCAGTTACAGTGAGGTCAGAAAGGCCCTCCTAGGGTCTGAGTGCTAGTGTTTAGAAGTGACTGTGAGATGCTCTCCTCCCCAGTGTGCCCAGATTTGGGCAGAGCCACTGCTGAATGAGAGCTGGAGTGAACCATGGCCAGTGGCCATCCTGAGCAGTAGGAGGGTGTTGATCAACCTGGGGAATGGGTGTAATGGACACAGGCACTGCCCCGATGATACTGGCTGGGGTGCTTCCCAGGCCTGGGGTTGGACATTTCAGTGAACATGAGCATTTGTCTCCAAGAGGGTGGGCAGGCAGGAATGCTCTGTGAAGTGGGCTGGAGAGGGTGATGAGGTACGCCGAGTGTGATGGCCTGCGTTGACATGCTGTGATAATGTAGAACTAACTTGTGTCAGTAACATTGTATTAATGCAGTTAGTGCCTTACCACAGTGTAATTAACATGGTGAAGATGTTTGTTTCTCATTAGAAATGACTATAAAATGCTGGCCCTGATAACAGCTCTTTGCTCTTGGCTAAAAGTTGAATGGGGTCCTGATGTGGCGCTGCAGAATAGTGCAGTGAACCATAAGGTTGGTTTGAACCACAAGGGCGGCGCTTCAAACTCACCAGCCACTCCTTGGAAACCCCTTACAGGGTCCCTATGAGTCAGAACCGACTCGATGGTGCTTACCAAACATGCTGAGAAGTAGCCTCTTTCCTTTCAATTTCTTTTTATTTTGTTTTGAACACTGTTTTGTATTGCTTTTTAAAATATTTATTTTATTGTGTTAAGATACAGCAAAGTGCTTGCCTTTTTTTTTTTTTTTTTTAATGTGTATAGTTCAGTGTCATTAATTACATTTACCACTTTGTGCTACCATCATCATGGTCATTGCTTTTTGGTAACTGTTCTGTCAACTGGCTTCATTCTGACCAGATGATAACTACACACATACCACATACATACACATGTATGCACAACTATATAAACAGGAATCTGGCAGAAGTCTATGGTGAAACTAGGACTTGAAATAATTTTTTAAATTATATTTCTGACTCAACTGTAAACAAAGTATATTTCCACGTTCAAAAGCTTACATTTTGTCCAGAACACCAAGAAATACAGTTTTTCATGTGTTACCAGTACTTAGACCAGGTAGACATTAGGGTGGGTATGTGGCTGGAAATGTTCTTCCCCAGAACCTCCGCCTGCCTCAGCTTTAACGTGCATCACCAAAAGAAAGGCAAGTTGGCATGCAGGGATGTTGTCACATGTAATGATAACAGGTGGATGTGAGACACAGAGTGTGATCTTGAATTTCTTTAAAGGAGTGTTGGGGAAAGTTAGTTTTTCCCTAAAGTTTTCTTCTCAATACATAAGTGTTGCTCACAGAGAAGTTCCCGTGGTCAGATGGACATGGCCCAGACTGGTCAGAAGTGGCATGGTAGGCTTCAGTATTCTTGTTTCCTGCTTCTATCTGCAGTCTGTTGGCTGCTTTCACGCTGTGTGGGCTCTGCTGTTTGCTGTCCACCCTGGTACATGCTGGTAGGCACAGACTCTTTTCCTGCTGCAGGTTCAAGGTGTTTGCAGACTATGAGGACTACATGGCCTGTCAGACGAAGGTGGACCAGCTATACCAGGTAACATTCATTGGTTCCATGATGGGCAGCCCAGGGGACAGTACCAGGGAGGGCTCTTCTCCTGTCTGGCCTGCACCCTCTTGGGGAAGTCCCCATTTGGCCTTGGTCAGGGGCTTGGCAAGTTCTGACCATGTTGTAGATGTCAGTGTTGCCACTGCCTGCGGCCCACACACATCCTGGTCCTTCTCTTCAGGCTGTGGTCCATCCTGTGTCATCTCAGCAACCTTATAGCTAATGTGTTGTGATTTGGAGGGGCTAGTATTGGAACCCGGCACTGCCTCCCACCTAGAACCTTGAATTTCTTTTGGCGTCAGAGGAGTCACCAGACTAAAGCATGCATGGTAGGGAGCTGGTGTTTGCCCACTGAGTTCCATGAGGTCAGAGGAACGGCTTCTGCTCCCAACCCAAGGTCCGATCCAGGAACCAAATCACAGGGGGTGTGCCATGGCCTCAGGTATGCAGTGCTGGCGGGGCTGCCAAGGCTGGCCCAGAAGATGAAATAGGGAGCAAGGACAGTGGGGCCCATGGACAGGGCACTGGCAGAATCTGGGTCCAGGGGTTCTTGCCCTCTGCAGATCAATGACAACTTCATGTGGCATGGCCAGACAATTCTGGGAATGCAGACTCTCTTACATGCCCTTGGTCCTGTAACAAATTAATTGCCTCCACAGAACCCAAAGGAGTGGACTAAAAAGGTCATCTGGAATATTGCCTGTTCAGGCAAGTTCTCCAGCGACCGGACCATCATGGAATACGCCCGGGACATCTGGGGTGCGGAGCCCTCAGACCTGAAGATCCCCCCACCCAGCAGCCCCCGGGAGTAGGTTTCTATGCACTCATGGTACTGCCCACTGTCATCCTCTGTCTGCTTATAGGCCCCTGCCCACTCACAGCCCCCTGTCTACTCATGGATTTCTGTCCACTAATGGGCTCCATCCACTCACAGCCCCTGTCTACTCCTGGCTTATGTGGGGTTTCCAGCACTTTACCAACATCCTTGTTGATTCCTGGGGCTTTGGATTCTAAGGGAGTAGAGCCAGGCTGGAAAGGTACATGGAATGTGTGAAGTTCTCATGGGTTTTCAGCAAAAGGGACTATGTAGAAGGTGGCCCTGGCTCCTCTAGGAACCCTGTATGCACCTTGCTTAGCTTGATCTTCAATGCCTTTTATTCTAAGCCTCTGGATGCTAGGTCTGTGGAAGGGAGTTGTGTTGAGCTGGAGACAGACTGGTGCCCCTGCCCAGCTCTGCAACCTCCATTCTAAATACCTAAGTGCAGGGCAGGGGCTAGGAAAGGCTACTTCCTGTCTCTTAAAAGAACCATTTATTAAAACTTGATTATGAAAAAATTCAAACACATTTTTTGTTGTTGTTAGGTGCCATCGAGTCGGTACCAACTCATAGTGACCTATGCACAACAGAACGAAACACTGCCCGATCCTGGGCCAACCTCACTATCGTTGCTGCGCTTGAGCCCATTGATGCTGCCACTTTTTCAATCCATCTTGCTCGGGGTCTTCTTATTTTTCTATGACTCTCCACCCTACCAAACATGATATCCTTCTCCAGTGAGTGGTCCCTCCTGAGAATATGTCCGAAGTATCAGAGATGAAGTTTGGTCATCTTGGCTTCCAAGGAGCTCTCTGGCTGCAATTCTTCCAACACAGATCTGTTGGTTCTATGGGCAGCCCATGATACTTTCAGTATTCTCCTCCAACACCATAACTCAAAAGCATCAATTCTTCTACGGTCTTTCTTTTTCACTGTCCAGCTTTTGCATGCGTATGAGGTTATTTAAAATACCATGGCTTGGGTCCGGGGCACCTTAGCCCTCAAGCTGACATCTTTGCTCTTCAACACTTTAAAAAGGTCTTGTGCATGCAGATTTGCCTAACGCAATACGTCATTTGATATCTTGACAACTGCTTCCATGAGTATTGATAGTTGATCCAAGAAGAATGAAGTCCTTGACAACTTCAATCTTTTCTCTATTGATAAGAATTGTTTATTGGTCCAATGGTGAGGATTTTGGTTTTCTTTACATTGAGATGCAATCCATACCAAAGGCTGTGCTCTTTGATCTTCAACAGTAAATATTTTAAGTCTTCTTCACTTTCAGCAAGCAAGGTTGTATCATCTGCATATTGCAGGTTGTTAATGAGTCTTCCTCCAATCCTGATGCCATGTTTTTCTACATATAACCCAGCTTCTCAGATGATTTGCTCAGCATACAGCTTGAATAAGTATGGTGAAAGAATACAACCTTGTCACACACCTTTCTTAATTTTAAACTATTCTGTGTTCCCATGTTCTATTCGAACAACTGCTTCTTGGTCCAGGTACAGATTCCTCATGAGCACAATTAAGTGTTCTGGAATACTCATACTTCGCAATGTTGTCCACAGCTTGTCATGATCCACACAGTTGAAAGCCTTTTCGCAGTCAATAAAGCACAGGTAAACATCTTTGTGATGTTCTCTGCTTTCACCTAAGATCCATCAGACATCAGCAATGATACCCCTCGTTACACGGCCTCTTCTGAATCCTGCTTGAACCTCTGGAAGTTCTCTGTCAATATATGCTTGTAGCCGTTTCTGTATTACTTTTAGTAAAACTTTACTCGCATGGGATATCAAAGAGATTGTCTGATGATTTCTGCAGTCCTTTGGGTCACCTCAGGAATGGAGACAAATATGGATCTCTTCCAATCAGTCGGCATGTCTTCCAAATTTCTTGGCATAGATGAGTGAGTGCCTCCTGTGACGCCTCACTTTCTTGAAAGATTTCAAGCTATATTCCATCAATTCCTGGTGCCTTGTTCTTTGCCAGTTCATTCACTGCACCTTGGACTTCCTCCTTCAGTATCATTGGCTCTTGATCATATGCTACCTCTTGAAATAGTTGAACATCAACCATGTCCTTTTGGTACAGTGACTCTGTGTATTCCTTTCTTCTCTTGATGTTTTCTGCATCATTCAATAATTTGCCCAGAAAATCCTTCAGAAACGAAAGTCGAGGCTTGAATTGTTTCTTCAGTTCCCCCAACTTGAGAAATGCTGAGTGTGTTCTTCCTTTTTGGTTTTGATTCCAGATCTTTGCACATTTTATTGTTCATATTTGGCTTTATCTTCTTGAGCTGATCTTTGAAATTTTCTGTTCAGCTATTGGACCTCCTCATTTCTTCCATTTGCTTTAGCATCTCTACGCTGGAGAGCAAGTTTCAGTGTCTCTTCTGACATCCATTTTGACCTTTTCCTTCTTTCTTGTCTTCTTAATGACTTTTTACTTTCTTCATGCATGATGTTCTTGATGTCATCCCACAACTCTTCTGGTCTTCAGTCTTTAGTGTTTAATGTATCAAATCTGTTCTTCAGATGATCTCTAAATTCATGTGGGAGAGACCATAGTATAACCAACATGTCTTCACCATAGTGTCAGCTGCTGGGGTTGTAGAGTTATTGAATGGCCCTCTTCCACTGTTGTGGAGCAAACCCCAGATTCTGCATGGCCTCAACGTTTAAAATTTGTACTTCTGAGTCCTTGTGTGGTACTGTAGGATAAGCACTGGACTTCAAGGTTGGTGGTTCAAACTCATCAGGTACTCCTCGGAAACCCTATACAGGGTTGCTATGTCAGAACTGACTCAACGTACTTAACAACAACAAAGTATTTTTACTTTTTTGCAACAAGGCTGGTAGCTAAATAGGAAGTGTATGACCCAGTTTTATGTGAAGAGGCATCAGAAGATGTAAACTTTAATATTTAAAACTGAGGACAAGGTAGCCTTCTGACCCATGTCTACTGCCTTCTTCCCCTGTGGCCCGGAGCCCTAGCTTGATCAGAGTTAATTTTGGGTACCTTTATATTGGAAGAGGAGGATGAGGGGAGAGGTCTGGCACTGAGCAAGTATTCACCTTCTGTCCCCACCTTCTCTTGGGTTGGGGCTCTTGTCCTGTGCAGTGAGGTGAGTCCAGCATTCTTTGCAAGGCCACATGGCACTGTGTACTTCCCTTGTGGGAACTACCCCAGGGCTCAGGGCTGAGGCTGACAAGGGACACCTAGAATGACTAGGGGTACATCTGTCAGGCATCTAGTATAATCTATGGTGCAAGGTTAGCTGGATTGTACTTTTACAGGAGGAAATTTAACATCATAAGGCAACTTAACTAGTTGGAGTGTTTTTCTTGTTTTAGTCACTAAAAGTTCACTAAAGTTTCAGCAACAAAGGCAGCACTACCATGTATTTCCAACCTGGCCTGGCCTGCCTGTTCTTGCTGGTGCACTGGATGCCTGCCTGGCAGCTCTCTGCCTGTGTTGACAAAGAACCCCTGCCCCAGCGCCTCTGCCCTCTCCTCTTCCCATCAGTGCACACAGCCTATCTTGGAGAAGGGAGTAGGTGGGCTCATGAGGAGGATGTGTAACTCTGCCACGACAATAGCTGGGTACCTCCTCCCCAAGGCCACCAGTCCTGCCATATGGTGGGAGAGCTGTGTGGGGAAGTGGCTTCTGACTCTGCTTGGGAATGCTGGGGTTCACTAGAGCTCCTGGATATTTTTGCAGGGAGTGACCAAGTTCTGATTGGTTGTGCTTGCCATCACCCATTTGACCTATGCCACACATCCCACCAGATTGGTTGTGTGTGAATGTCCCTGCTCTCACTGCCTCCCTTGAGAGACTCATTCAATCTCTGTGCTCGTGGCTGGTGGTTGTGTGTCTTCGTTTTATTCTTTGCATGCTGCCCTCCACGTTTCCCAGGGCCAGCAGAAGGTGCTGGTTCCCACTACAACTGAGCGGAAATGGGTCCTGCTTGGTGACTGCAGTGACCCTAAAGAACTGCTGAGCTGTGACCATGGGCAATGTCAGGGTTAGGGGTTACTCACTGGGGCCCAGTCTTCTTGCAAGACCCAACCTTGGAGTTCTTAGTTCCTAGCAGGGAAGCCTAAGACCGCACCAGGCCATGAGCACCCTGCTGTACCCTCACTGATGCATCTCTGGGTCCCAGTTCCTTCCTTCCTATGGAGGGGGCTGGTCTGAATCGTGGCCTTGCATGCCAAGAACAGAAAATTAGTTCATGAGATTCAGCTGCATGTGGGACTGAGCCACGTATGTGTGCATCGCCATGTATGCAATTACAGTTGTTAGATCCACTTGCTCGATGAATGCTATCTCCTGGAGATCAAAAGCATTTGGATTTCTGGTGTGAAATGATGTTCCTTCTGCCACCATAGAGTTGCAGGTTGAATAAAAAAAAGCAGTTACCTGAGTGTGTCTTGACTGAGCACTTGAATTTGGCACCTTCATTTCCAACATGGAAGAAACTTACATCTATTCCCTGGACCCTGAAAAGCTATTTCAGTGTCCCTATGATAAAAACCAATAGATCAGGGCCTGCAGATTTCCTTATCATCTTATCAAGTACAGAAAGAATCACCCTGATGTCACAAACAAATTGGCTACTTGTCCCTTCAATGCTCGCCACCAGGTTCTTCGAGCCAAAATTAGTCATCATATCTCAGGCTGTGATGACAAGAGTTGTACTGAGCAGGATGTTGTCAACCAAACCAGGAACCTTGGACAAGAGACTCTGGCTGAGAGCACTTGGCAGTATCCTCCTTGTGAGGAAGACTGGGATAAAGATTTGTGGGAACACACCAGCACCCCATTTGTCTGGGGCACAGCCAACTACTGTGGCAAAAACAGCCCTGCAAGCAACATAGTTGTGGAACACAAGAGTAACCTGGCTTCAGGCATGCAAATTCCCAAGTCTCTGCCGTACGTTCTGACATGGAAAAACAATGGAAACACACAGTAACTGAATATCTCATCAAATGCCAGACTTACAAGACTCTTGCTTCTTCCTGCTATCAGCGGGCTCTTCATCTTCCTCATAATCTAATTATAGAAAGATAAACTGTGACTTTCAAACTGACAAGTATCTTCTTTTTCTCCCTCATTTGAGTCCTCATTCACTTGATGCAAGAATCCTCATACTCAGAAAAACTGGTTCCAAATAATATTGACTTAGCTAGCCTGATAATTTAGTTAAGAATACCTACAGCACAAAAATTAGAAATCTCATCCCATTGCATATTAATGAAACATAGTGATTTAAAGTGATTCTAAAGCAGACACAGGTTAGAAACATTTGTGCTCTCTGACCCACTTGGACCCAGTTCTTTTCAGCATGTTTAAGAATGGACCTTTTCTGATCAGTGCATCTTTATCCAATGAGTCACTGAGATTGGGGATAGCATTTATATAGCAAAATGCCCCATTCCTGTTGAGAATAACTTAAGACATTTTGCCTCCTAAATCTGTCCAACCTAGGGTAGGTTTCTTTTCTTTTTTAACCTCCCCTCCATTCCTAGTTACATAGGCGTGAGAACTGGGATGGAGGGGGCCAACCAATGCACATGTGAAGAGAAGAGAGGCTTTCTACTTGTGTGTGAATTTTAAGATTCAAATCTTCTAAGTGTGAGGGCCCTGCTGACTGCTCTGGGGTATCTGTGTAACAAGACAGACTTCTGAAACACCCCAAGGCTCTGGCTGTCCTAGCAGCATGTTGGTCCTTACAAGGAGACTTCATGATCTCCCTGGTCCATTTTGGTTTGTATGGAATACTTTTGTTTAGTTGTTTTCAGGCTTTGTCTGGTTTTTAAATTGTCTGACATGAGGTGGGATTTGGGTCTCAGATGAAGTATACTTGATGGGTAATTCCAAAACTGATCTGTCATTGTTTGTGGATAACAGATAAGAGGAAGGCTGGGCTCCTGTGGAATGCCTCCTTCCAAGAATATTACACAAAATAATAGGATTCTCACGTAATGTAGCAGAAGTATCTGTTTATTTAGTTCAAGTCTCTGAGAAGAGGTCCTCAACAAACCCCCTGATTGTGCTTCTAGCTCTGTGACCTTAAGTGAGTAACTAGACTATTTCTTCTGGAGCGGGTGGCAATTTATTGAGGGAGGAAAACACCTGTTACACCCCCTAGTTCTGGTTCCTTATGTTTGTGTATCAGTCAGCACCCCACAAAAACCTAACTGTGTTTTAAAATAGTCCTATTACTGAAAAATATGAAACCTTTTGATTTTGATTGTTTTGGTGTTAACAAAACAGTCTTATATTTGTAACTCGGAACTCCTACTTCAGGAAAAACAAGCCGAGTCTCTTAGTAAAAATTTTCTACTTGAATACAATTCAATAAAGGAATTATAGAGGAAAAAAAAAAAAAAGCAGTTACCTGCAAGCAGAACACAATTTTACCCAAAGGATGACCCACGCTAGGGCCAAAGAGCATGCATTCTGCAGGCTTTTCCTTGGGCACAGCCTATCCTAGACCTTGGGGGCTGGCACAACACTGAGGTTAACAGCAGGCCGAATCCTGAGATGGAGTCTAAGGACTCTACTTTCCCACTCCTAGGCCTTGGATCTGTGCTACTAGGAGCCACATCCTCTGGTTATGAAGCTCTAAAACATGGTACCTACAATTAGAATCTGCCCACATCTTCCTTGTCCCTATTTTGTTTAAGTAGTAGTCTTCTGCCCCATCATTTATTAAGCTTAGTTGCTTGGAGCAAGGTAAAAATTAAGCAGTTCAGACTTGGGGCAGCGGGGTTATGCTGTGTGACCTGGTGAGCTGACAGATGACCACAGTGGCCTCCCTCCTGGGGCTACCACCTCAGCTTTAGCCTGCTTGTCCAACAATTATTGACAGCTTGTATCTTTATATTTTGCCTCATCCTCCATCCCCTCCTCCAAAAAAGAGATGACTTTAGCAAAGGCAAAAAGGGCCAGGATGAAGATGGAGCTAGAACGGTGTGAGGACACAGTTCTCTGAGTTGGTGGGAATAGATGGAGAACTGAGCCTCAGGTTCCCGTCTCAGCAAAGCAGGGGAACACTCGTGTGTATGACACCTGGAGGTAAGCTAGTAAACCATGGCTGTCCTGCCTCTGAGCTTCAAACCCACTAGCACATAAAAAGATGCCCCGTGCACGGCTTAGTAGGATAACCACTGGACTGCTAACTGCAAAGTTGGTGGTTCAAAAACACCAGCTGCTCCTCGGAAACACTATGATGGTATTTAACCAACTTGATGGTATTTAACAGGCTTCCAGTAGCGAGGGTTATTACACAATGAACATCTATCAAGGACCAGAACTGGGCCAGAGCTGATGGGATGCTGGTGACCAGGTGGTGTCTCCCAAGCATTTCAGTAGTATGACGCACAGCTGAGCTGGCAAGGGACAGGAGACTGCACACACCTTTTGTTAGTTGTCAGGCATGGGAGGCAAGCTTCTTTCTAGTATAAACAAGGCAAAAGCCACCTCAAGGGGCGAATCCCTTTAGGAGGTTCGGCAGCCAAGATGTGTCACCAGTAGCTCCCAGGTACGTCAGAAAAGCTGTGTCCGTCTGCCTTTGAACCAAACAGCCAGTCGCAGCAGCTACTGGACACAACCCTTCAACAAACACCACTCAGTGGTTTGGCTGCTAATGCCAGGGGTGCAAATGAGCCAGCCCTCCCCTGTCCTGGTGAACTGCTCTGAGACTAGAAGGTTCCAGTGCCGGAGACTTCTACGGAGTCCTAGGGTAGCACTATAGGGTAAGCACTGAACCTCAAGGGTGGTTTAAATGCAATGATGGCAGTTCAAACTCACCAGCTGCTCCACAGAAACCCTATACAGGTTAGCTATGAGTCAGAACTGACACAACGGCACTTAACAAGGAGGGCAGCCAGTCTCTGGGGCATATCAGAAGTGAGGGATCACAGTGTCAGCTGTAGTCAGATGTCAAAAGCAGGCATTATTACAATTCCAGCCTACCTTGATCTTTGGGAGATGTTACGAGGAGCTGTATCCTAATGGGTAAAGCTGGCCTGATGACGGGGATGTAAGTCTTTAGCGGGGGGGGGGGTCGGGTGTACACAGTTTTCAGAACAGTGAATGAAAGCAGCACTGCATGGAATGTGGGTTTTCCAAACAAGCCAAATAGACACCACCAGTGAGTAAATATTTGTGTTTCCTATAACCTAACCTGAGTGAAAAATAAAGTTCCCGGTCTCCAGCAGCACACATTTCTAAGTACTCAGAAACTTGTCAATGCAAATCTGTAGATAGATCACCAGTGCACGTTAATCAGGCAACCAACATACAGGTACAAGTAACGGTTTTCCTAAACTTAAGGTGAAAAGCTCACCTTAAGGAAATGACACCTCTCAGTCAGGAAGAGCCATAGCCCACTGTGACATTATCCTTCTCTGTGCGACCTCGTGATCTTACAGGAGGGAAGGGAACAATCCTCTCCCTCAGTGCTTCCAAGCGTATCCACTGCTGCTGGTGCCTCACCCACCTCCCACTCTCCACCCCCGAGGCCTTGCAGGCAGCACAGGGAGAGGCTGTGGGCAGAGAGGCTGGGCACTTCATGCTTCATAGAGAAGACAACAGACAGACCACCACAATTTTATTCTTAAATAAATGCTCAGTCTAAGCCCAGGTTAGACAGACAGATGGGAGGAATGCAGAAGTGTACGTCACCACCTAGACCCTGAGTCTGGTGGGTGCACAGGGTCCACTTGGAGGGTGGGGTGGGGCAAAGGGCAAAGGGACAGTCAAGGAGGCAAGCATGTGCACAGAGCAGGGGGTGGAGGGGTGGGCAACTGACCGCTCAAGAGTCCATCGACATGGGTGGGAAGGGGCAGTAAGAATCCAATGTATCCCTGTCCTCTGCAGGGAAGCTGGGGAGAGGACCAAGACCCCATACCACACTCAGACCCTGTACCCTTGTCCAGCTCTCCATGCTTACTCAGGAAGCAAGACATGTGCAACACTGATCAATAGTGGCAGCCGTCTGTTCTTGTCACTCATCCTTCCCAACAGGGACTCAAGTTGAATAGCAGCAAGAGAGAGAAGGCCACATTCCCACCCAGCACTTCATTCACGAAGGCTCACACCCCCCAGAACCAGACTGGGTTTCCTGGGGCATCCACATGCAGGGTTCCTGAGCAGTGCTGATGCTGCCACGCCATGGCCCAGGGTGCCAGCTGGCCAGGGAATGGGGAGGAGAGCAGAGGTCTTCATGCTTCCTTTACGCAGCTACTCCTTAGTGGTGATGTTCCTGCTCGGATTTCCCCAGGAACTCCCTAGACCAAAGAAAGGCTTCCATAAATCAAGTGACAGGCGCCCAAATCAGAGGTGCCACCACCTTCATCCTCACACTGCCCATATGAGGAGGTGGAAGCACATGGCTACATACAAGGGAGGGCAATGATACTCTGGAAACTGTATAGCACTGGGAGGAAGACCAGATCTATGGGCTGCTCTTATCGTTTGAAATCTTCACTCCAGTCTGAATGTTTTGTGTTGCAATCCTTTTATATGGAGTAAAACTACAGCCACAAAGCATTGCCCTATCAACTCACTGTCCCCTCAGAAAGCACGGGGATCCCCATTTCCATGTGGCCAAACCACTAAGAGAGATGGGCTTGGCCCTTAAAACTTCCAAAGGTTGTAAGAAAGCAGCCTCAATTTAAAGCGGAGTTGCACTGGAATGTGCCTCAGCTTGGGGACCATAGGCTGCAGACCCAGACAGCAATAGTAGCTACCAAGCAGGACGGCAGCTATGTTTTCAAAGGGCTCACGTGCTTCCATGCTGAGTGCCCCCGGGGTGGGGGATCCCACTCATCCACCCAATGAGAGGTTCAGGATCTTGCAGAGGTCAAATCCTGCGGAGGGCCTTGTGGCCTGGTACAAGTGCTGGGGAGTAGCCTTGGCCCAAAGGCTCTGTGGGGGTGACGACCTGGTTAGGGGAAAGTAGGCATTTGGTCTATTCTGACCTGTACTCCTTGTCACCATGGCTAAGGCCTTGCCCCTCAGACATGGGTTTGGCACCTAGATCCATGGTGGGCCAGTGGCTCTCCAAGCGACAAGCCATGCCCTGACCCTGGATTCCAGCCAGTGAGTAGTGACATCTCTCTAGCAAAGCAGCTAGGGACAAACAGGCCTGGGAGGAGCTGGCCCAAGATAGGGGTCCCCAGTCTGCCTTGTGTTCAGGGACAGAAATCTGATAGCTTAGCCCAGGATGCTACCAGGAGAGGACCTGAAACCCAACTCAGTGCAGCCAGGGTGTTCAGTGTGTAAATATGCACATATGCCTGTGTATACATGTGCGTGCAAGTGCGTTGCATGTGTGTATGTATGCACAAATGTGCCTGTGTGGATGTTTGCATTTGTGTACTCAGACCTGTGCATGTCTCCCTGGCATGTGTGCACATGCACACCTGTGTCTATCCACGTGCCTATATAACAGGGAGACCACCAGACCTATCTCATTTGGATGGTCCAGGGCCTATGGAAAGCATTTTCAAATCCCTTAGTATGAAAGTGAAAGGCTCTTACATCACTGGGAGTCTTGACTCACTGAGGCCCTTCAAACAGTTCAGTAGCTGCCCCTTGCCCCACCTCCTAGGCCTTAGCAAGGACCTCACCTTAGCAAGACAGCCTGAGTTGAAGCCTATGCACTAGCAGCATCTCACCTCAGTATCCGAGGAAGCTCAGGGCTTTTGTAGATGTACTTGTGCCTGTAGCCCAGGTCTGAGTGAAAAGGGATAAACTGAACTTTGAAGTCCTGGAAGCTTCGAGATGGTGCAGCAATGCTGTAGAGCTGGGGAGAGGTGTAGGCAAGGGTTAGAGGCCAGAGAAAAGGACTCTGGTATAGATCAGTTGGGGTTGGTTCCTCCAAAGGAAGGTCCAGCCTCCCTACTCCACTGCTGCCATGGTAGGGGTGGGTAAGTGGGGGAAGGGAGGGGCATGTGGAGGGGTGCTGACAGGAGCTGGGCAGCTTCTCAGCAAGGTCTGCCCTCACACCTGTTACTAGGCTACCTGCTCCCTTGCTCAGGGGAGTGCCAAGGTAGAGAAGCTCTCAAGTCATAAGGGACCCTGCAGTGCACCAGCATGGGTATGAAAAATGGGCAAGAGTTCAGATGTCTGGGTGTTCCCATTCCAGACCAGCCAGATGCTCACATTGACCACTGGCCTCCCACCTCAGCTCCACTCCCTCCCCATTCCCCATCATAGCTAACTTCTACAAGGGTCTGAAATGTGCATTTGCTGGGATTGTTATCTATACAGCCAGACCCCCATCACACACACACCTGTGCGCTCAGGAGGAGCCCACTCCGAGAAGTGCTTGGAGCCTGCATCTGATGATAAGGTCAACCCTACCCCTCTATATTTCCAGCAGCAAAGTTTAACCAAATTCAGCAACAGCAAATGTTAAAACCTACATACAGTAGGGTATTCTTCTAATATCAGTCTAGTCCCAAAGGCAAGAAAAGAGACTAGAAGTTGCCACATCAACTTAATTGGTGACAGAAAGCATTTGGACTGGGGACAAAGCTCATCAAGGATCCCACTCCCTCCAGCTAACAAGTTGACAGCCTCTCTGCAGAGTCTGTGAGACAACTGTCTCTCTGCCACTGACTGCCTGGGCTCTGTCCACACCAGAAGCTCCTCCCTGATGGGGACTGCATGAAGAGTGGGAGCCCTTACTCATTCCTCTCTCTCATGTCCACACCTATTCCAGCCTGATGGCAATCCAGAGACAACCTCCATGACTGGGGCATGGCCAGTGGGGCCCTCTGTGTGGAGTCCAGCAGTAGGATCTAGTGAAAATGTTCAGTTTATGGCATCCTCTTGGTCCAGGCCTCACCTGCCCTTCTTTTCCAGCAATAGTACTTCTCTCCACACCTACCTATGCCCAGTCTGGCCCACCAGCTTAGTCTGTATAAAACTGACCTGGGGCCAGGCCTCACGTCTCTGGGCACCTGCCCATGCCAGGGGCAGCAGCAATAACTCATGGCACTCACCTTTCTGCCAAGCTGGAAGGGTACAACTGGGTCATCCTCAGCGTGGAGAATGAGCAGGGAGCAGGAGATGTGCTTCACACTGTGTATGGGGGAGATGAGGGGGTGACAAAGAGGTGACCAGACAGCACACACAGGCCGAGAAAAACTGGGTGGTAGAGGGGAGTGGGGGCGTGTGGTTCTCACATACTTTGATTTGTGTTTGGGAAGGTTTTCCTAGTGGCGCTTAATAGTCTTGCATTCTGCTGGGATAGTTTTACTATTTACTGTTGTATGTTGTTGTTAGGTGTCACTGAGTCTGCTCTGACTCGTTGTGATCCATGGACAACAGAACTAATATGGCCCGGTGCTGTGCCATCCTCACAATCGTTGTTAAGCTTGAGTCTATTGCTTTGCTACTGTGCCAATTCATCTCATTGGGGGTCTGCCTCTTTTTGTTTTTTTTTTCCTTTTAACGTTTTATTGTGAATTGAGTGAACGTTCACAAACAAGATCATCAGTTTTACATTCAGTAAATCATCCACTGTTTCATCTCAATGATGCAGTCCCCTCCATGCAACCACAGTTACGCCACTTCCTCCCTGTGCTTCCTAGTTCCACTCCACCATCTTCCCATCTCTTCTCAACTTTGTCTTTAGGTAATGTTTCCCTTTCCCTTTTTTAAGTTTTTATTGTGAGGTTTACATAGGAGAACATCACTTTTACATTCATCCTATCGTATTTCGTTTCATAGCAATGATTACAATCCCCTCCATGTATCATCAATTAACCAAAGGGTACACCGCACAGGCCCGCCACCCAGTTGTCAGCACACAGACCCTCTCACTCCCTGAGTTCCCTGTCCCCAGCCACTCCATCTGTCCATGTCATCATCTCTGTCTCCATCCCTGGCATCACTACCTCTCTGGGTAGGGTCCCGTTCTCTGCTCTTTTCACTTGATGGTCCCAGGGACCTCTGCTCCTGGGCTGCAAGGTCAACAACTCCCCTCCTTTTGTCAAAAAACATCTACCTCTATATTCCCTACCCTCACAGTCAGTCAGTCCTGATGGCAATTATTCACTGTTGTACCACAAGAGTCTTATCCCCATTTCCTTTGCCAGCCTGGTCCCAACAGATTGGAAATCATTCAGTGGCTCAGCCCCATCTGGAACTGGGCTCCATCTTGAAAGCTTGTAAGCCAGTCACTCTTGCATTTACAGCCCTCCTCCCTCCCCATTTTGGGTAGCCAATGTCTATATTGTCCATCCCTGTCAACCCTGTGTACCAAGGGAGTGGGAGTGATCATCGCTGTAAAGACTTGTTCCCTTTTTTGAGCTACTACTTCCATAAGTATAGGTAAAGTTCATCAAATTGTAGTGGATTACTCTTCTTTTTTTCCCCTCTTCTTTCTTTTTCTACTCAAGTTCTGATCATCCAGCCATCGAACCCAGGTCAAGAGGGTACTATCTGCAAGTCTGGGTGTTCTTGTGCATCTCCCTTCACTTCATATCAGCTGGATGCTTCACTCTCCGCTCTAGTCCTCTGTGGCCATGTCACTGCCTCTGGGCCCATACTGCTGGCCATCCAGGTCTCCACCCAGGTTCACAGGGGTCTATTGAATGTGGCTGGACTTACCTCCCAACTTCATTGGTTCTTTCTTCTTTTTGGATGTGCACATTTATCACAATAAATTGTCCTCTCAGCACTGCTTTCACTGTGTCACAAAGATTTTGGTATGTTGTGGTTTCATTCTCATTTGTTTCTAGGAACTTTGTAAATTCACGTTTTATTTCTTCTTTTACCCAGTTGCTTTTCAGCAGCGTGTTACTCTGTTTCCATGTATTTGACTTTATTTCCTTGGTATTCTTATTGTTGATTTCTAGTTTTATAGCATTGTAGTCTGAAAAGATGTTTGTAAATTTATGGAGGCTTGCTTTGTGACCTAACACATGGCCAATTCTGGAGAAATTCCATGTGCAAAGAATGTATATTGTGCTGTTGTTGGGTTGAATGCTCTGTATACATCTATGAGGACAAGTTGGTTGATTGTGTTGTTTAGTTCCTCTGTAACTCTGTCGCGTTTCTTTCTGGTTGTTCTGTCCCTTTTCAAAAGTGGCCTATTAAAATCTCCCACTATAATTGTAGATTTATCTATTTCTTTCTTCAATTCTACTAAGATTTGCTTCATATATCTTGGTGCTCTTTCATTGGGAGCATAGATATTTATTATGGTTATGCTGACTTGCTCAATTAACCCTTTGATCATGAGATAGTGTCCCGCTTTATCTCTTATGCTGGCTTTTGTCTTAAAGTTTACTTTATCAGAGATTAGTATTGCCACTCCTCTTTGTTTATTGTTGCAGTTAGTTTGGTATATTTTTTTCCATCCTTTAACTTTTAGTCTGTTTTTGTCTTTGTGTGTAAGGTGTGTCTCTTGCAGGCAGCATACTGAAGGGTCTTGTTTTCTTATCCATCCTGCCACTCTGTCTCTTCACTGGTGCATTTAATCCAGTGACACTCAATATAATTATTGACAGGTATGAATTAATTGCTGCCATTATGTTAATTTTTGTTAGTGCTGCTCATTCTGCATGCCTTCTTGTGCTGAGTTTGTGTTTTTTGTGCTATTTCTTGTCATGTTTGCTTGTTCTGCTTGGAAGTTCATTTTCATGGTAAACTGTAAAGTATTAAATTTCTTTGGGATTACCTTATAGTCTATTAACTTTTCTCTCCTTTTAATACAATCTATTGTATCCTATAATCTACCTGACCTCCTTACCACCTGGATCTCTGTTTGTAAAATTTTCCCTTCTTTGACATTGATATTATTTTGATCTTTGGCTGACCTCTCAGCTCCTTTGAATTTGTTGTTGTAGTTTTGTTCTGTTCTGGACTCTGCTATCCGTCGCCTGAGTTCCAGGTGGTGTTGCCATGCCTGTCAATCTCTGGTCGTTGTCTGTTCTTGCAGGTTTTCAATCCAAAGAACTCCCTTTAGGATGTTTGGAAGTGCTGTATTGGCTTTGATAAAATTTCTTAGCTTCTGTTTATCCTAGAATGTTTTGATTGCGCTTTCATATTTGATTGACAGTTTTGTTGAATAGATGATTCTTGGTTGGCAGTTTTTTTTCTTTTAGGAATTTCTATATATCTCCCCATTGCCTCTTTGCATGCATGGTTTCTGCTGAAAAGTCAGAGCTTAATCTGATTTGCTTGCCTTTGTAACACTTCTCTTTTCCCTGGCCACCTTTAGGATTCTCTCCTTGTCTTTGATTTTGGAGAGCTTGATTATTATATATATTAGTGATTTTCTTTTGGGGCCTATCCTTCCTGGGGTATGTTCGGCTTTTTGAATGTTTATCTTCTTATCTATCAAGATGTTATGGAAATTTTCTTCCAGAAGCTCTTCAACTATCTCCTCTGTGGACTTCTCTGATTCTTCTTGTACCGGAATGCCAATAATTAAGTTGTTTCTCTTCATGTTATCCCACATGAATATTAAGACTCTCTTCAAATTTTTAATTCTTTTTTCTGCTTGCTCTTCTGTTTTAGCGGCACTGAGAGATTTGTCTTCCAGCTCGCTGGTTCTGGCTTCCATCTCTTCAATTCTGCTCCTTTCCCCTTTCAGTGTATTGTCCATTTCTGATATTTTATTATTAATCATCTGGACCTCTTTTTGCATGTTTTGAATTGTTTCCAATGCTGTATCAATCTTGTTTGATTGCTCTTGTAGTACTTTCCTGATTTCTACCTTGTTTTCCTCCACCCCTTTTTGGAGCATTTGAATTTGTTTCCATATCATTCTTCTGAATTCCTTCTCAGGCAAATCCAAAACCTGCTCTTACTTTTCTTGAGAGCCTTTGTCTGTCTCCAGCTCATTTTGTTTCAGTTACTCTTTTCTGTTTTTGGACATGTTTTGAGATCTTTTGTTGTTGTTTTTTTGTTTTGTTTTGTCATTTCCAGTAGTTATTTGGGTTTTTAATGCATAAATGGTTATTTGTTACTGTGTTATTAAGCTTACTGGGTGTCTCCTGGTGGGTAGGATCAGGAGGTAGGCTTCCTTTTTCTCGTTTAATGCTTAGCAGCTGTTATTGGCTCTTGTCTCAATGGTGGGATATTATGGAGTATGCTTGTAGCTTGGTTATATGGCCACGATTGCTGTCTCTTCCTGGGTAACGTAGGGAGAAAAAGCTCCAACCTCCAGGAAAAATGAGTGATCAAAACGACCAAAAGCAGAAGCAATATGAAAGCAGAGACAAAAACCACCACTTTGGAACAAAAATAAAACTGTGGCTGACTGTTCAGTTGCCTTGCTACACAGGCAATGTGTGTGCACCATAGAAGCCTCCAGCAGTAGGTGGGGGTGTCCGCTCACTCAGGCCCCTCCTCTAGTCACCACTGTAGAGGTGCACAGATAGATATTGAGAAGTTAATGGGAGAAAGATTGACTACTATTTGTGCTTCTGAAGGTCAGTTAGGTATCTGCATGTGCAGAGCATAATTCTCAAGATAGTTGTGTCCTTTTATGTTGGGCTTTTACAGATTATTCATATAGTTTGTCTGTCAGATCTAACAGACCTGCTTTTTTCTTGCTGGATATGCCATAGTAAAGGGTCCCCCACAAATTAATTTTAGGGCTGGGACCCAGAGGCTGACATCATAGGCAGCCACCAAAGAATTGACCCTGGGGACTGACAGGGCTCTTTCTCTCTGTGCCGTGGGAAAAAGTGGGCTCAATGCTGGACTTTTTTTGAGGGGGGGGTGCACACCCATCTACCTGAAGGTATCTGGACTGGGCAAAGAAGGTGCAACAGGGAAGAGGAGGAAAAAATGTGTAGAATTTCCCCACACCTCCTTTTGCAAATGTCACTATACCACTTTTAGCACCGGTTCCCTGTGACAATCTGGCTGTAGCCCTGCCCTCTGAACTCGGCCCGGGCAGGGTTGCCGCAGAGGGAGTCCCATGTCTCGAGCGATTCCTAAATCACAATATTTTCCTTTATTCCATGATTTTCCACTGGCATGTGCATAAACTAACACCCTATACCTTATGCTAGATCCAGAGCGCTGGTGCTGTTCCGTGGAAGCACCTTCTCTGGGTTTTCAGTCCCTCCCCGGCGGAATCCTACCTGAATCTGCTTCTGCTGCCACCAAAACCCTCTTCCTCTTTTTTGCTGACATACTTTAACAAGTATGACGTCCTTCTCCAGGGACTGATCCATCCTGATAATAGGTCCAAAATATGAGAGATGAATTGTTACCATCCTCACTTCTAGGGTTCACTCTTGCTGTACTTCTTCTAACACAGATCTGTTTGCTCTTCTTGCAATCCATAATATACTTTAATATTCTTCTCCAATAAGATAATTCAAATGCATCAATTCTGCTATGGTCTTCCTTATTCACTGTCCAACTTTCACATGCTATGAGGCTATTGAAAATATCATAGCGAGGGTCAGGTGTACCTTAGTCCTCAAATTGATATCTTTGCTCTTGAACACTTTAAAGAGGTCTGTGCAGCAGATCTACCTAAAGCAATATATTATTTGATTCCTTGACTGCTGCTTCTATGAGTGTTGATAGTGGATCCAAGCAAAATGAAGTCGTTGACAAATTCAATCTTTCCTCCATTTATCATAATGCTATTTATGGGTCCAGTGGTAAAGATTTTTGTTTTCTTTACCTGATGTGCAAACCATACTGAAGGCTGTGGTCCTTACATTAGAGAACCAAAAAATTGATGCCTCAGATGTTTCTATCAGTACCTATTCTGGCTAGGTGACTGCTATTGTTAGTTGCCATGGAAGTAGCCCCTGATTCATGGTGATCCCAAGTTCAAGAGAACAAAATATTGCCTTGTCCTGTACCATCCCCATGATCAGATGAATTAGATATTCGTAATCCATAAGGTTTTCACTGGCAAAAGTTTGGAGATCGATCACCAAGACTTTCTTCCTACTTTACCTTAGTCTGGAAGCTCTAGTTAAGCCTATTTAGCAACATAGCAACACTGAAGTCTCCAATGACAGCTACATATGAGATGCATTAGCTGGGGGGTCAAGCCCCAGTCTCTTGCATGAAAGTGAGAATTCAACCTCTAATTAGTTAGTCATAGTGTGAATTGTATCTAGAGATCATTTCATTCACCAAAATCTGGCCCCTGTACATTTTCTGGTCATTGAAAATGATTATTTTTGCTAATAGGCATATTCTTTAAAAAGTTACAAAATAATATTTGTACACTGAATAGTTTAAGTGTGCCAAGAAAACTATTATGAATGAATGCTATTATGACCTGTTGGCAAAATAAGTCAATACCCTTTATCTCTAGTGTAAAGTACATCCAGAGCACTCCAGTTCTAAACATTTACAAGGGTATTAAAATTTTCATTAAATACAATTCAAAAGATTAAAATCATTTCAGCTGCTGCCTAACAGAGTAACAGGACACTAAGACTGGGAGGGGTCTGGGTATTTCTTGGACTATACCTCAAGCTGTTAGCAGTATTGGACAGCCAGTCTCTGGGTCCATGGGCATACCCACCCTGACATTCTCCCAGCACCCTTACACATAAACTCTCCTCTAGTCCATGCTTTGGGAATGGAGGAGAGTCTCTGTCGTGCTACACTTTATAGTATCTGGAGAAAGTACTAGGCCTTCAGCAAGAGTCTGCTGCCATCCAAGCAGGGTTTGGTTCCCAGAATTGTCAGAGCTAGGGACACAGCACTGCCTGCAACCCAAGCTTTTGCCTGTGTTGCCAGGGCTCAGTGGGGAGACTTGGGGCCAAGAGGCTGCTTCAGGAGAAACCCGGGTACTCACTTCTCATCATTTGCAAATCTAATTCCACTACTTGTAATGGGGTCAAGGAAAAACCAGTCAAATCCAGGGAAGTATCGATATATCTGAAAAAACATGGAGAAAGTTTTCAGAGTGTTTACCAACATATCCATGCAGAAGGCAAAGGTTAAAGTGCAAGTTCACAAAGTGCTGCCCTTAACCACCAAGCTTTTAAGGGAAAACATGTGCAAAACAGATGATGAGGCAGAGAAGACACACAGCTGAGGGTAGATCCCACAGCCAGAGCCATTCTCAGAGTGCTCTCACATCTTCCTCCCACCCCTCATGACCATCGCTATCTTCAAGAGGCTTCCAGACAGGCTTTGTCACTAAGGACAGAGGGTTAATCCCCATAAGCCCCAGAGACCCAGCTACTGCAGAGGCTATACTGCAGCCAAGAAATCAGATACTAGTCCTGCCACCCCTGAGAAAATGGGGACTCACATTTTTTCTCATATGGTTTTGGAGAAACATCTAGATCTAAAGGATAAACCAAAATAAAAGATGCCTCTGATCTGTGATGGGCCAGCTATAAGATCAGGATGGGTGGGCAGACTCAGAGCTTACCCAGAACATTGGCCAGCTGCACAAAACCTGGACAAGAGGGACCCTAATAGGGCAGGCTTTTGAAAACAAGGCAGAGGCTCTGGTGGTAGGGGCTGAATGACTGAAATTCCAAAGTGCGTTTACTAGAGCTCCACCAAAGAGGATGAGCTGCCCAGCCTCAAAAGTGATGGGACAACCCAAACATCGCACTTCCAAGAGACTGCCCAGGAGCCCCTAGACCCCAGGTCACTGCCCTGCTGAACCCCATGGCCACAGCAGCATGTAGGCAAGGCTCTGTAATAACATGCCCCCTTAACCACGCCTGGTGAGTTACAAACTTCCCAGACAGCTCTGTAACTATGCCTGTGCCCAAAATTACACAGGGCTGTTTTTAAATCAATATTAAATCAAAACATTTTAGTAGTAATTTTTATAATTAATTTCTATTTTATAGTGATTTTAATATGCTATAGTAATTATTTTAATCATTAAATTAACTTTTAAATAAAATCTCTACTTGCCACCGAAAATGGATGGCTTTTTGCTTCTTCACGGATGTTGGTGAATGGAGATTCCAATATAAGGGCATCTGGTGGTGTTTCTAGACAAACAAGACAGAGAGTAATGTGGTGAGCAGACCTGAGGAGGCAGATTTTATCTCAGAAGCTGTGGTACTCTCGGCAGTAAATCAAGGACTGTGAGGCTCTGGGTGGCTCTGGGTGCCAGTCCAGACTCCTGCAGATTCAGGCTCTCCATGAGGACCAATGCCCTAGGTGCCTACTCCACCAGCCTTGTCTGATTCTGGGAACTTCCCCAACCAGGAACCCACCTCCACAGTGCCCTCATTCGAAGGCTGGGTGTGTGGCCATGGGCTTGCAGGCTTCAGGTGGGCTTTATAAGTTCACCAACCCCTGTGGCTAGGGAAGCTGCTTAATAAAGCCTCTGGTCTCACCCAGTGCTGTGGTAGGCATGGGGAAGGCAAGCTTGAATCCTAAAGTTCCTGTCCCACAATGCTGAGTCTAGCAGTGCCTCTGCTGCTTGCATGTGTATGGAGGCAATGGAACCACCCTCTCCACAAGAACTTGGAACAAGGGCTGGAGTGCAACAAGTGTCCGAAAAATGCCAACTCCCAAGACAAGAGGGAGCAAAGATGGCTCAGAAACACCCACAAAGTGGGAGCTGTAGGACCCACACTGTGGCAGCCAGTCCTCGAGCCACACAACAGGATCTGCAGGTATGCCACTTAGACATGTTCTCTTACCTCGCTCACAGAGACGTCGCACTAAATTTGTTGCAACCCTAGAAAGAAAGAAAAATGATTCAGCTGAATTATGACAAAAACAACTGAGATGAGACTGTATCAGTATTAGAAAGTGACTAGAGCAGTTGACTTGGTGAGACTCACAGGGACAGAAGGGAGGAATAAATGTTTCCTGATTTTAAGAACAAAATAAGCAAAACCCCCAAGATTTTCTAAGCAAAATCAAAGGAATCCAGCAAAACCATGATTAGAAAAAACAAACCAACCAACAAAAACCATGATTAAGATGTCTGTTCAACAATGTGTTCTGGGTGCTGAGTGGTTATGAGAAAGCTTCCAGGAAAACAAATGTCCAGTCAGGCCGTGGTCAGGAAGTAGGGCCCCTGAAAAAGAGCACTGGGCTGGCCTCCCCTCCCTGTGACTGCCACACCAAGGTCACTGTGGACATTGCTGAGCTGAGCAGATGAGACACCCACGGCAGAAAAGAGACACCTACCAGCTTGGAAGGATGCAGCCTTTTGCCCATATGAAGGTGGCAGCATTTACAAGTCAGTCCAGTTGAGGCTCCCTGAACTTCAGGACCACATCTAGGGCCTGCTCCCACCACTCAGGGTACACAGAAGCTCTGGGCTGCTCACTCTCCCAATCAGGGTGAAGAGGCCCTGTCCTGAGATACTGCCTATTGCAGGTCCAACATGAACTGCTGGATGCTGTCCAAGGGAGAAGCCAGAGTCAGGAGGGTCACTTCCTCAGAAACAGTGGATCAACTGGGAAATGGCTGTTCAAGTTGTTGAGGTCTGAGTGTTGACAGCAGTGGGTACGTTCCGAAACACTCTGGACTGTCCATGACAATGCTTCCCCTCTAAGCAGACATAGGAACTGAAACACCCACTATTTCCTCCTGCAAGTTCTCTGGTAAGTCAATATCAGAGGAATGATCAGTTTGTTCATAAATGTCCTCAGTTTGCGTAACTGAAGCACAGTGGCAGTTGGATTTGATGACAAACATACATATCTCAAAATCATGCTTGGCCTACGCTAATCCATAGATGGTGTCTTAGATCAGGCTCTCTAGAGAAGCAAAACTAGTGAAACTTATATATGTATATAAAGAAGGGTTTACATCAAGGAAACACCTCACACAGTTGTGTGCCGAGGCAGTTCCGACCCATAGTGGCTATGAATAGGATTTCTGAGGAGCACCTGGTAAGTTTGAACCACCAACCTTGCAATTCAAACTGACTTTGCAGCCCAGTGCATTAACCCACAGTGCTGTAAAGGTGGGCAAGTCCCAAGTCCACAGATCAGAAGCCTTTTGATTCATGTACCTACAGGACTGATGAACCCAAGAGCAGCAGGTCAGATGTCAGGCAGGCTGACAGGTCAGGCAGGTAAGCTGGGAGGCTGCTGATGACACCCAGGATCAGCAGGCAATAGAGCAGGTCACTGGCTCAAGTCCAAAGAATCAGGAAGTTGGGTAATGAGCTGGATACAGGCAACAGACCCAGCAAAAAGCTAGTAAGATATGCCCCAAGTGTCCAGAAGCAAGCAAGACCCCTAAGGAAACTTTCTTTCAACTAATTGGCTGCTCATGTTGTTGTTGTTGTCAGGTGCCATCGAGTCGGAACCGACTCATAGAGACCTTATGCACAGCAGAATAAAACGGTGTCCGATCCTGGGCCAACCTCACTACTGTTGCCACGCTTGAGTCCATCGATGCTGCCACTTGGTTAATCCATCTCCTTGGGGGTCTTCCTCTTTGTCTCTGACTCACAACCTTACCAAACATGATATCCTTCTCCAGCGACTGACAATATGTCCAAAGTATGAGAGATGAAGTTTGGCCATCTTGGCCTCCAAGGAGCACTCTGGCTGCACTTCTTCCAAAACGGATCTATTGGTTCTTTGGCAGTCCATGGCACTTTCAATATTCTCCTCCAATACCATAACTCAAAAGCATCAATTCTTCTATGGTCTTCCTTATTCATTGTCCAGCTTTCGCATGCATATGAGGTAATTGAAAATACCATGGCTTGGGTCATGTGCACCTTAGTCCTCAAGCTGACATCTTTGCTCTTCAACACTTTTAAAAAGGTCTTGTGCAGCAGATTTGCCTAATGCTATATTTCTTGACTGCCGCTTTCCATGAGTGTTGATAGTTGATCCAAGAAGAATGAAGTTCTTGACAACTTCAATCTTTTCTCCATTGATAAGAATGTTGTTTATTGATCCAGTGGTGAGGATTTCTGTTTTCTTTACATTGATATGTAATCCATACCAAAGGCTGTGCTCTTTGACCGTCATCAGTAAATATTTTAGTCTCCATTGTTGTGTTCTGAAGTGCTGACGAGCATGTGAAAGCTGGACAGTGAATAAGGAGGACTGTAGAAAAATTGATGCTTTTGATTTATGGTGTTGGAGGAGAATATTGAAAATGCCATGGGCTGTTGAAAGAACCAGTAGATCCGTGTTGTTGGAAGAAGTGCAGCCAGAGTGCTCCTTGGAGGCCAAGATGGCCAAACTTCATCTCTCATACTTCAGACATATTGTCAGAAGGTACCAGTCGCTGGAGAAGGACATCATGTTTAGTAAGGTCGAGGGTCAGAGAAAAAGAGGGAGACCCCCAACAAGATGGATTAGTCAAGAGGTAGCATCGATGGACTCAAGCATGGCAACAATAGTGAGGTTGGCCCAGGATCGGGCAGTGTTTCGTTCTGCTGTGCATGAGGTCACTATGAGTCGGTACCAACTCGATGGCACCTAATGGAGACGAGGTGGGCAAGGACTTGGGGGAATAACAGTAGTACCTCAGGGTTTCTTCAGGTACTTCTCTTCAGATCATGGTTTTGGAAAGCTGTTCCTATGAGAAAACTAGCTCCTGCTTAAGGCTGGCTACATCATATGGGAACCACTCAACTGGTGACCAAGGAGTGGCCCCAAATGTACACAGGGAACCTTTGGATAATGCTCACCTGGTGCCTGGGAATGCATCAAATGTATATAGGAAACCTCTAACACTTACCTGGTGTGAGTGTTACAAAAAATGACCCAAATATAAGCAGGACACCAGCAAGAAATGCTCACCTAATGTCTAAGGAGTAACCCCAAACATAAATGGGGTACCAGTGGGAAGCATTCACCAGTACTCAAGGAGTGCCATAAGGTGTACATGAGGCATCTGCTGGTAAATACTTACCCTGTGCCCAAAGAGTGACCCCAAATGTACACGGGGTTGTCACCACTTCTTGCTTTGACCCAGTCAAACACATGGAGTGCGTCATACGTCATGCCCCGCTCGGATGGTGTTCCTGCCGAGTCACCCCAACCTGGAGAAAAATACAGGAGGAGGTGAGATTATGGTCATAATCTGACATATATGACACACACAGGAGTCCACACAGTAGCTGAGCCCAGAAACAGGAAAGGATACTCTTGCTGACTAGGAGTGAGTTGCCCTTCATGGCACAAGCAGAAGACCCACCACCCGAGGTCCTGGTCATGCTGTTGGCCACCTGTTCTACTAGGCGGAGTGGGTAGTGGGGAGAGGGCAGGAAGTCCATCAGGTCTACTCTGCACCACTCCTTCCAGCATCAGTGACGATATGGGGGGAGGTGGGAGCATGACATTTACCCTCCTCACACTGGTTCCTCAGCCCCTGACTTTCTGGCCAAATCCAACGTCATCTATCAGTAGTGACTCTAAATTGGTAGGTTGCACATTTGTTTGTCAAAAAACAAAGAGCCAAATCAACAAACTACTTCCCAGAAACCTCACAGTCTAAGGGACAGACCATCCTCTTGCTCTTCCAGTCAAGGGCCCTAGATATTTATGTCATCAAAACCCACAGCCTCACATGTAGGGAGGCCCCCACAAGCCCTCCTCACCTCATAACACTACTTAAAAGTGGGCAGATGGTCCATACACCCCTGACTAAGTCTTGAGGGGCTTCTGTGAGACAGCGTTCAAACCCCACGACTCCTACTGGTTAAGTACTACTGTGAGATGGAGGCATTCAGATTCTACTTCTAAGACCTCTACCAGGCACGGATCTTTGTGCAGACAGTGGCAGTCAGACCTGAGCTCCAAATCCCTACCAGCCAAAGACTTCCCAGAACTTCGAGCATTGATAAAGGCTAGCCCAGGATGGAGCATCTAATACCGGCCTAGGCAAGCAGGGAAGCAAACAGAATTTCCCCACCAATAAGCCATTAATGGGGATCCCAGGAGCACATCAGTCTTCCTTATTCACTCAGGAAGACCGTAGAGGAATTGATGCATTTGTTATGATGTTGGAGAATATTGAAAGTACAATGGATTGTCAAAGAACAAACAAATCTGTGTTGGAAGAAGTACAGCCAGAGTGCTCCTTGGAGGCCAGGATGGCCAGACTTCATGTATCATTCTTCAGATATATTGTCAGGAGGGACCTTAACTAGAGAAGGATATCATGTTTGGTAAAGTGGAGGATCAAAGAAAAAGAGGAGGACCCACCAGAGAGATGGATTGGCAGCATCAATGGGCTCAAACATAGCAATTATGAGGTGGCCTAGGACCGGGCAGTGTTTAGTTCTGTCGTGTATAGGGTCGCTATGAATCAGTACCAACTCGATGGCACCTAACAACAACAGGAAGATTTGGACACCTGCTGGGCAGGAGTCTGGGCCCAGTTCTGACTTTTCAGTCCTGCTGCTGCCCAGCTCCAGAGAAATGGCCGGCAGATAAAAGGCGGCTAGGAAAAGAAGTAAAAAGGAGGCAATTTTCTGGTTCAAAGCAACTCTGACCTCTGACCCAGAAAGGGAAGGACCCCTCTATTTCACCTTAAGAGTGCAATTAGCATATCATTTGCATAACAGAAAAGCCAACCATCTTGGTCCCTACATTACTTTCCTAGCACCAAGGATTGAAAATATCCTTCCCACTGGCCTCTCTCCCTACTTTCAAGTACAATTGTCTTTCAGCAGCTCAGCAGGGAGTCATCATCCAATGATATGAAAGCACAGGGTTAGAAAGAGTGGATTCTGTTACATGAGCAAACCCACAGAGTCTATGTGCAGAAGGGTCCACCCTGGCATCCTAGACAGTCATGATTAGGAGGGCGCAGGGTTTCATAGGTTACAGAAGGAGGTAAAGACAGAGTTAATGTCACAGAGAGTCAGAGACAAAGACATCGAGACAGCCAGAGATAGGTAGAGATACAGAAACAGGTGCAGAAATATAGAGACAGAGTGAACACAATGGAGGGGACATAAGGATGGGTAAAGGCTGCAGCCAACTGACAGGGTTGCGTCTAATTGGTTTTCTTGACAGGGTCATCCTTAGTCCATTGAGGATGTTCATAAAGCAGAGTCTCCCAGAGATCAAGTACCCAGATTATTGTCAGATACAGTGCCAAAAAATGAGCCCCTCAGGTTGGAAGGCACTCAAAATACAACTGAGGAGGAGCTGCCTCTTCAAAGTAGAATTGACCATAATGAAGTAAAGCTTTGGGGACCTTCATTTGTTGATGGGGCACAACTCAAAATGAGTAAAAACAACTGCAAACATCCATTAACAAGTGGAACACAGAATGCATGAAATATGAATCTAAGAAAATTGGAAGTTGTCAAAAATAAAATGGAAGCCATCGATATCCTAGGCATTGTTGTTGTTGTTAAGTGCTATCGAGTTGACTCTGACCCACAGCAACCATGAATAGGGTTTCCAAGGAGCTAGTGAACTTGAATGGTGAGCTGAAAGGGACTAACTAATATTGGCCATTTTGATTCTGATAATCAAATGGCTTGCTATGCTAGGAATGAAAATCGAAGAGAAATGGCATTGCAGTCATCAACAAAAAGAATATTTCAACATCTATCATGAAGTATAATACTGTTTTTGATTGGGTAATATACATACACCTACAAGGAGGACCAGTTAATGCAACTATTATTCAAATTTACACATAAACCAGTGTTTATGACAGTGATGATGACATTGAAGAATTCTACCAATTTCTTCAGTCTGAAATTGATCAAACATGCAATCATGATTTTTTGATAATTTCTAGTGATTGGAATGCAAAGGTTGGAAACAAAGAAGAAGGAAAATATGGTCATCATTGGAAAATACGGTCTTGGTGATAGAAATGATGCTGGAGATTGCATGATAAAATTTTGCAAGACCAATGACTTCTTTATTGCGAATACCTTTTTTTTAACAACATAAAAGACAACGACACTCATGGACCTCACCAGATGGAATACACAGAAATCAAACTGACTACATCTGTGGAAAGAGAAGGTAGAAAAGCTGTACATTATCAGCCAAAACAAAGCCAGGGACAGACTAGGGAATAGACAATCAACTGTTC